GCATACTCTGCATGACATTTGCGCTTCTTAAAAAGATCGTGTTTTACGTGTGACAACATCGCAAAAGTAGATAAGTAGGCCATTAAAACGATTATGAGCCTGAACTTGTAACAAAGGTATAATTTACAAATTGTAAGTAAACTTGAAAATAGGATCAATAGTTGTTGATAAACCTACGTAATTCCTTAAAAAAGCATTTCGGTTATTTTTAAATAAAAATACTAAAAAATTTATAATGACAGTGGCAAGTTCAAACTGTCACATTTACTTTGTCGCACACTGTGCGGCAAAGTCCGTGCGTAAAAGTAAAACAAATGAACGCTAAAGAAAAGTGCTTCTTTTTGATCATCGCTTCTGTTCGCAAAATGGCACTTATTGATTCATTCGAATAAAAATGTATATTGCTCAGAACGATATTTCTACACACGTCTTGTTTGTTTTTTCCAATTACCTTAGTTACTAGAAACAAAAAACTTAAAATAAAAAACTAATTGTCACATCGCCCCCTAGACTAACATATGTGGTTGGCAGGACAGACAAATAGATCTTATTTACTCATTTCCCAACAAGGAGGTTTTTTGAAAATTCATATTTTAGCTTCCCATTGAGTTGCGTACTTTTGAGAGCTGGCATTAGATAAATCGTGAAAGCTTCAAGTCGGTTCCCTTTTCAGGAATTTTTGGGGAACTTTTTGAAACTGGTTCATTTCCAAGGGGCGATTTGGCAGGTTGATGTTGATGATGTTGAATCGAGTTGGGTGCTTTTCCAATGATGGCATCAAATAGAAGAAAGTTGTTTATATAAAAGTAGAAAGTTTCCATTTGCCCCCGTACTGAATAATTCTTAAGGAATTTCTCAAAGTTGATACATTTCAGCGGGCCAAAACCCTGGCAAAACGGTTCTTTTWAAAAATTCTCCGACACCTTGCATTGGATAGAGGAAAGTCGCTCTGATGAATGCTAAAAGTACCACTTTGCTACCGTGATCAAGCTTTTTTAAACTGTTGAGTTTTTCACTCTAGTTTTGGCTCAATTTGCAAGGAGCGTTTTGGAAGGCTTATGATTGAAAATGTACTTGCTAAAGGTGTCCCTAGACAGARAAATGTAGACATGATGATGATGATGATGATGATGAGAGATATAGACATCCAGGATAAGCTCCTGGTCATGCTAATAGTGCGCTGGAAGGGACATTAAAACAATGTCCGGCCGTTGGCAAAGTAACAATGGTGTCCGTATTGTCCATTGACGACATAAGAGAATCGCGAATATATTGTGCGTGTCCCGGCGCTCTCACTGGACACAACACGACATCCAGATGGCACCGGGATTAGTTGTGTGGAAATAATTTATATGTACGTTGTCGAGCCGGGATTAGTTTGCATCGAATTATACTATATTATAAAGGAACATCTCGGTGCAGCCGATTAAGCCTGTCCTTTTCGCTTGCAGGATTCCCCTGCCACGCTGCCCATCGCCTGGATGGTCCATAGGAGATTGAGACTGGAAGTTTTGGTTCGCGCCGACAGGATTTGATGCGCTACAAGCTGGATATGATGGTAAGTTTGCCGGTTGTTTATTTCGTTTCTTTATAAAGGGTTTGGGTCTATAATAAGGAAAATATCGTCGGTTAAAGAGCGTGAACACTGAAAAACTGCTGAAAATGGGCCGAAAATGACGATTATTTCCAATCTGCTGGGTTTGGCGTATTTTTTGATGAGCTCGGGGCATTTCCCCCTTCCTTCAGGTGAAAAAACTGTAGAATTGGAGGCATTTTGAGGAAATTAAATTTTTTTTCAAAAAATCAACCCTTACCCCTTATAATTTTTTCGGTCAAAAATCAAAATTTCACATGCGTGTTTTTTGAGTTCAATGGATAGCTTTCGACCTAGAAAGCTATTTACATTGCATTTATAAATGGTTTGGGTCTATAATAACGAAAATATCGTCGGTTAAAGAACGTGAATACTGAAAAACCGCTTAAACTGGGCCCAAAATCACGATTATTTC